ATTTGATCACCAACGCTGCCCCAAAAGGGAGCGGGTTCCTTAGCTGATTCAGCCCTAAGTCTTCTCTGTACTAACCCCTCCCTCTGCCTGCAGTGTCCACCTGTACCCATCCTGAGCACACAGTAGGCCCAAATAAATGCAAATTAGGTAAATGGTACAAAGCCCTTCGTACAATCTCAACAAATTCTAAATCTCCGTAGAAACACCTGTATAAGGAAAACAAGGTAAGACCCTTCCCTCAGACTATATGGATTTTTTATTTTAAATTTAAAGGTCAAGTTAAAGTGTCAATGATGCCAGATGTGGTGGCACATGCCTGTAATCCCAATATGTGGGAGACTGAGGCAGGAGGATTCTTGTGATTTTGAGGGGCTACATAGTGAGTTCAAGACCAGCCTGAACTACATGGGAGACCCTATCACAAAACAAACAAAAGAGAAAACAAAACGTGTCAATGAGATACTGAAAGGTTTTAAATCTAGACCTGGATTCCAAGCAGGGGAACTAAAACCCTCTCAAAGCTACAGATGATACTGTTCTTCAAGGAAATGTTTCCACTTCTGCTAGGGAAAGGGAGGCTTCCGGGAGAAGGCTGGACAGGCTGCCCAGAAGGAACAATCAGATGAGCAAGAGATCAGAGATTAGAGACTGTTGCCACAAGCGTGATTTCCTTGCAATAACCAAGTAGACAGCTCAGCTTTTTAAAAGTCTAAAAACGTTATTTCAATTTGTAAAACGAAATCACCAGTCATTTAGAGCCAAGTTTTTCAGGTGGCACAGTCCTCCTACAAACCACGGTAGATAACAAAGAGAAAAAATGGCATGGTTTAGTTAGACACGAAATTTTACACAATGAGAAAGACGCACTGGAAATCAGGCACTAACATCAACCAAAACCCAATTAACTAGTGTATTTCTAGATTTCCACTAGATAGCCAAATACTGCAGCATTACAAATATTACAACACAGACATGTTAAAATATAATATAGGCAACAAGCTTAAAATCGAACGTATTGGGAAATAAATACATACTCTGCATGAATTGTAATTTTATTTAATTTCTTAAAATTCTGCAACTTTCAAATAAACAACAGCAGCAGAAACAAGCTCCCATTTGAATGGGCCACAATCGAGACCATCAATAGTTTCTATGTAACAACAGCAACAGATCGAGTATGTGCTGTATCTTTGAAGGTGAAGGGAGATAAATCCGTGTACCACTTGAAAAAAAGGTTATAGGTGTATGTGTATGTTTGTCTTACGCACACCGCATTCTCAGCATTAAAAAAAGAGGCTACTCACGTGAGCTTTTGAAAGAATCAGTGAGCATTCCTGAAGAAATCATGATGGATGGTTTGTTGATATTTGTTTGGAATATTCTCATTTATGGGTGCACTCAATACAACAATTCTCTATTTATCTACTCCCGATCTTCATACCCTAAACAGTTTTGGAACAGGTGCGGGAAATGATCTGCTTTTTCAACCATTATATCCCCTAGACGTGACTAATTTGAAGCTGAAAAATTGCACATAATGGGCCAGGGACTGAAGTTCAGGATTTTCAGGTTGCTGTAGTCACGGGGCTGCAGCTGCCTCTTCCTGAACTCAGTTCACCAAACGTGACATCAAAGGAAAATTATTTTTAAATTTTTCTGCACGCTTCTTTTTAAGGAGGATAAAGATTAAGTTATATCTTTTGAAAATATATTCTTTTCCTCCAGGGGCTCTTAAATTTTAAAATGAATGCTAAATACTAAAGAAGCTAGCTACTTATGCTTTCTGTGTCTGTAAGGAAACAATCAGATGCCTAATTTTATTGTTGCTCAAAGTTTTTTTTATAAAAGCATGATAGAAATCACTGAACTTATAAATATTCCAAGTTCTATTATATAAACTTCCAGAGCCTTTTTTTGGTAAAATCCCATTAAAGGTTTAGCAGCATATAGATACTGCACAAGAAAGGCAAACACACAAAGTAAACAACAAACAAACAAACAAACAGTCAAACTTAGTAGAAAGGCTATTGGGGTTGGAGGGACTTAAGTTGGCTGAACCAAAACTCCAGCTCTCTTATTTGCTTTTATGGCTAACATTTTTTGTACCAAGTCCAGAAACTGCAACCAAATATCATATAAAACTGAGAGCTAGAAGGATTATACATCTGGCTCTGAAAGGGCCCTTAACCTCACCTACCCACAGCGAGGAGACAAGCCCACTGCTTTGGCCCCTCTGGGGCTCCTGGCCTGCCACAATTGTCCTGTGTGGTGGCTGTGTGGGGGGCACTCTGTGAGGTGCTTAAACCCTCCAGGCCAGGAGCTCTGCAGTCTGGATCCTCCATCCTTAGGCTGCCAAGTCTTCCTTCCTCAGACAGTGATTAAAAAGAGCCATGGCCAGTTGGCATGAACCTTTCCTTCTCTCACTGGGCCTGCTGCAGTCTCACGGGACACCTGGGCCCCTAAGTAGCAGCAGCGTTGGGCAGTGAGTTCTGTTCTGGCTTAGGGGGCAGAGGGGTTGTCTCCTAAACTTCACCTTGACTTTTCTGGCTCATAAATTCTTCTTTCCACTATGGATCCCACTTTGCTGAAGTTCTGCCCTTTGCTCAGATTCATTTACTTTCCAGTTTAGGGTAGTTGGGTGGGAAAACTTTATCACTTACCTTCTTTTAAGATTCCTTTCCCATATTTGGGGGTCCTGTAGGGTCCTAAGTTCCTAGATTTGTTTAAGAGCCAAAAAAAATTACTCTCCAGGGGGAAGATGGAAAGGCTAAGGCACGACTCAATAGGGGCTCATTCTAGTGCCTCTAGTTTGGAAACTAGAACTGGGGACATAACCTTTGTAGCAAGAGAGGAGGAGGAAACATAAGCAGTAAACTTATACCGCACAATTTCCCCTCGAGGAGTAATATACACAGATACTTTTCTTCTCCAAGGGAAGTTGGATTTAAACAGTTTATTAATGAGGAGGACCTGCCATTGACTTTGAGGTTTCTTGTATGCTCACTAACCAAGTTCTATGGGAAAACAACCCTTGACACTATGTACTCCAGACAAAAACTCTGCTTTGAACAAACAACTCTTCCAACCGGAAAGCACCTCCAATGGCCGACAGCCCCGGGCAGGACTCCTTGGACCGTCTCCTCATCAGTAATAAGATCCCCGAAAGCCTGTACTTCCAGAAACGCCCTAGGAACCTACAGCACGGTTAAAGAGCTCTCCAAACCCAGGAGAGCAGCTTCAGCAAAAGAAAAAGAAGGGCACACCAACAAACGCCAGGGAACTGTGTGTAATGGGTCACTGCTTGTGCAAAAACCTCAAAGAGGATGAAGGTCAGACAGGGATAATAGGCCAATTTAATTCTGAAAGCACAAGGTGCAAGAAATTTTAATTATGGTCTGCCACTGAAATCACACAAGATCCAATGGCATCTAACTGCAACTGCTCATCAAGCCAGACAAGAGGTGTAATTGTAACCGCTGCATAATCACTGCGAGGGCGCAGAAGGCTGCCCTGGGCTCCCAGCAGAGGAGGTATTAAGAGCCTCCTCGAAAAATCCAATACATGGAAACATGGAGATTGTACTTAGCTAAAAAGGCTTTCTGCACACAAAAGCCAAACCAGGGTGCGTGTGTGTGTGTGTGTGTGTGTGCGCGCGCGCGCGCGCGCGTGTGCATCGAGGGCGAGGGTTGCAGAAATAAAAAGATGAAGCTGTTTGGGCCACACTGAGGACAGGAGTGTGAGAACTGCGCTCTCTCTGCCTTGGGGACGCACGCCCACAGAAAGGCGCGATCTCCCGCGGAACTCCACTCCTCCATGGAGCTGGACGCACTCTCCTTTGTCTGAAACAATTAGCTCCAAGTTACAATGATTACCAGCGCCAGGCTCTCCGGAACGTTGTTCCCCCACCAGACCCAGGTCTGGAGACAAAACGCCACGCACACAGCCTGAGGTGCCCACGCCGTGCAGCGCTGGCCGCGCGGCTCCCCAGGGGTCGCGCGCGGGGCCCCATCCGCGCCTCCTCCACTGCGCAAAGTTCGCGGGGCCTGGAAGGAGGCGGCCGAGCCTCCCTCTGCGCCGCTGCGAAGTTGGCGCTGAAGTTCGTGCCGGGACGTCCCGACTGTGCAGGGGAAGGGCCGCGAGCGAGCGCGGGCCGGGCGGGAGGACGGATGCAGTTGGAGAGGCAGCGGGGGAAGCCGGTTCTCCAGAGTGGACGGTGCGGAGCTGCGAGTTCCGAGGTCCCGGGGCGCGCGCCACCGGGGGTCTCCCAGGGTGGGCGCCGTCGCCCGGGGCTCCAGAGCTGTCACCTGCGCGGGACCCCGGGCTCCAGACTCGCCGGCTCCGGGGCTCTAAGAAGTGGAGGCTGGGACAGCGGGCCTAAGCAGCACCTTTCGGGGGCCGCTTTTCCCTCCGATTCCCCAACTCCGCGGGGCGCCGAGGACACCACACCCACCCCGCCCACGCCACCCCCAGCCCTCAGCCTCGATCAGTGCTCCGAGGTCCCCCAGGGCGCCCGAGAGCACCCGGAGGCTGGGACCCCGAGTGCGAGCCGTCACCCCGGGCAGGGGCTTTCGCGCGTGCAGAGCCCCGGTGCGCTCCAGGCGCAGCTCCCCACTCCCCCGTTGTTCTCCTAAAGTCCACTGCGCTGCCCTCCGGGAGCGGACGCGAAGGGAGCTAGAGCAAAGCGGGAGGGGCGGGAAAAGCGGGGCCGGGGGTGGGGGGAGCGACAACTTCGTGAGCGGCGCTGCCTCGCGCGACGTCGCCACGCTTCGGGTCCCGCCCGCCGCCCCCTCCGGCCTCTCAAGTGGATACTGAAACTAGGCCAAAACTTTTCCCCTCCTTTTCTCTCGGCCACTAGACTGGATTGTGTCCCACGGAGCCCCATGGAGCTCTGCTTTCTTCGGCACAATAGCCGGGCTAATTAGATCATAGGAGCGAGGCAGTGATACTGTAGCAACTCGCCCGGGCGGCGAGGGGCCCGGAAAGTTCCGTCCCGCACTCACCGACCAAGCCCCCCACCAGGAAGGCGGCGACCTGGAGCGCCAGCAGGATCCCGCCGACCACGCACAGCTTCTTGGTGCTCATGTTCTCTATAATTGCCCCAGCCATTGCTGCGCGGCCCCTCTCCTCCGATTTTACTCAGGTCCCGGCTCCCGGCTCCTCGCGCTTGGGGCTCTGGGCGCGTCCTGCGCTCCCTCCGCGCGCCGCGCCGCCCTCGCCCCTTGCCGGGCGCCGCCGCAAACTTCCCGGGACGCGGGCGCCGCTCGGATCGCGCCCCGGGGCCGCAGCTGTGGTTGTGGCCGCTCCGCCGCCGCGGACGCTGGAAGGAGCGGGGAGCGGATCACATGACGCCGCCTCCTCCCTTCCTCCCTCCCTCCCTCGCGCCTCCTCCCTCCTCCCGGCCTCGCTCCCCGCCTCTGCCCCTCGCGCGCCGGTGGGGACCGCGGCCCGGTCCGGCCTGCAGCCCCCTCGCCGGCCGGCGACCTCGGGGTGCGCTGTTCTGCGGTCGCGGCCAAGCAGGCTCCCCGCGCCCGGCCTCTCCGGGGTTCCCTCTCCCGGCTCCCCGAGTGCCCGGTTTCTCTCCCTGACCGCGCGGAGACCTTTAACTTACGCGTTGACTTTGGAAAACGATCCCCACCCCCAGCTGCTAGAACTCTCTTTAGGAAAGAGCAGGCGAATTTTTAAAAGGAAATTGGGAGGTGCTAAGTCGAAGCACGGGGATGCGGAGTGAAGTCGCAGCCCCGCTTCCCTCTTCGAGGTCCGGGCCTCGGCCTGGGCGAGCAGAGAGCAGAGCGGGGCGCAAACCCGGCTGCTCCGCTGCTCGCCCCTTGCGGGACCCCGCTCGGCTCAATCGACCTCTTTCCTTGCTCCACCTCCGGGCCTCCAGGCCTTGACTCAGGTTATCGCTTTAAGAAAAAAAAATTAAAATAAAAAATGTTTGACCCCCACACAGTTCTAAACTTAAGTGGAACGCCACATCGTCCAAAAATCCCGTCTCCAGGCAGTATCTATGGAAACCCTGTGTTGACACTGTCACCTCCTGTTCTCAGGACGTGTGTGTACACACTTGTCCCTACCACTGAGCTGTAAATCCCGCGGGGACAGGGACCGAGCTGTAGTCACGACCGCACCCCGGTGTGGCCTGGAACCTGCATAACTTGGGGGGCTGCACCGACAGCGAAGGGGAAAGCAGCCCCGGACCTTCTGCATTTCAAAAGCCTACAGGGCCTTGGTCGGTTCAGACGGCACGCATATTAAGTTGGAATAATGTTTGTCGGCTCTTTGTGAAGATAGATTTAAACATAACTGCCAGGGAAGGGGATGGGGTGAGGGACGTGAGAGATTTCCTGCTCTATGAAGCCTAAATTCCTGGGCCTGATTTTTCCGTATTTCTTAACTTACGTTACCCAGTGGGCTTGGTAGTGCCTGTCGCCAGCGCAGTTTCCACTTCTGCCCTGTACCTGATTCTCAGCCCTCCTCCAGCTCAGGCCCTTCCCTGCCCAGGCCCTGTCCCAAGCGCTCCCGCTCTTGGCTCTCCTTCCTCCAGCGATTTCATTGCCCTATAGAAGCCACGAGGTTGCACTTCATAGGACGACCTGTCCCTTTCTAGTCCTCCTTATAGAAGCCCCAGCTTCTATGTATATAAAACCTTATCCACTTGGCCCCTACAGTTCTTAACAGTTCTGGGGTTAGACCTGCTATTTATTCATTCTTCCACTCAGCCCTTTACCCAGCAGACTCCTGAGCATGTCCCAGGCTTCCTCCCTAAGCACGAGAGGACTCCAGAATGCCAAGGCATCTGTCGCTGCCCCGAAAGCACTCCGGCTAGTGGCCCTGCAGTGGACGGGTTGATCTGTGTACTTTGGACAACACCAGGTACTCTTAGAAGCCAAGCCGACAGGATTGTCGTCCACACAGGTGGACTATTATGGGTTATGCATCTTCCTTCTTTACCTCTCCAAAGGTGAATATCATCTACCTAGCTACCTACCTACCTGCCTACCTGACAGAGGTAAGCTCCGGGAAATCATAACACAGAATCCACTGTCCCCTCCTGACCTCTGGGGTTGGCTAACTCCACATTCTGTGTTCTTATCTCAGCAAGCTGCTCATTTCACACATTTGAATAGTAGTGGTGCTTTTCAGCCAGAACTTCTTTTTTAATACCAACAGATTTTTAAAGTAAGGTTGGAGGGCTGCACGTGTAGCTCAATGATATAGCACATGCTTAGCATGCATGAGGTCCTGGGTTCAAGTCCTAGCACACACACACGCGACATGGAGTTGATTGAATTCAATATATGTATTTACTGTCCATTTTATATTGCATTTCAACAAGAGAAAAGCCTAACAAACTTATTTAACCAACATGTTAGTGACACGAAAGCCTTCAAAGGGAAGAGGCCAAGGTACAGGGGAGGTATCTGATTTTATGCATAGGTTTGGTGAAGCAGTGACAGCCTGGCAGAAGCGTGACCAGACAAAGAGCAGGATCCAATGAGAAGAGATTGAGTGGGGAGAACCAGCCAGGCCTCTTTCCAGACCTTCCGGTCCCTCCTGAGGGCCTTAATGTCTTTCTGGCCAGCTGCTACACAGAAGGGTCGGGAAAGGTTAGTGTAGGGTTAGGGTTCACAGCCGTCTTTGAAGGAGAAGAGATACTGGCTGATCTTGACCATGGATGGGAAACTGCCTCATGATTTTTCTGCAAGATAGGATGTTTCTTCTTCTTCTTCTTCAGAAACATTAGGGAAGTCAATAATCTTGTATCAGAAACTAGTAAAATTAGTCATTGAGTAGTTCTGCACAATTTTATCGTGTTATGAATACTTTTTGAGGCCTATTTTGGCAGAAGTCTGGAGGGTTGACTTTACCTGACAAAGGTGCTAGGAAGGACACCATGTAGTACTGAACTCTAACAACACTTAGTGGATTTTACGCAGAAACAGCCTGCTCTCAACACTGCCTCTAACTACCAAGAAAATGTCTGCAGTGCCGTCAGATAGATAGATTATCCCGGAGACTGGAATGACCCAGGGACAACCCAACTCTGCCAGCAGAAACTGGTCATTCCCACTTCATTTCCCAAGAATTGAATGGCCTGATCTAGTCATCATTTTTTTCAAAGCATTTAGCATATGAAAGCCATAGTGATGGCCAGTGCATATTTGTTGAGGATGGGTGGATGGATGGATGAGTAGGTGAATGGATGGGTGAGTGGATGGATGGATGGGTGAGTGGATGGATGGATGGGTGGGTAGGTGTATGGATGGATGGATGGGTAGGTAGATGGATGGGTGGGTGGATGGATGGATGAAGTCTCCTCACCACTGATTCCTATGCAGAATTTGCTGATTATTTTCTTACACAGTGCTTATGTACTGGGCTCTATTTTGCACATACACCTGTTTTGTAGGGTGTTGTGGCCCAACTGAGTAGTAGGTCCTTAAGCACAGGCAGAGTTGACCTGAGCCTGGTCTCCTGCAGAGCCCCAGCTGCACCTGGAACAGAGCTAAGAAAACCTCATTGTCATCGCAGTAAATGTAGAGACCTATGCGAACAGAAGGCACCTCCTTAGACACCTGGCTTACTTCCCAGAGGGACCTAATAAGAGCAGTAATCCCACTTGGAGGAGGCACCTGGTTTTCATGAATAGCTTTTCTCCATCAAAGGCATGGCTGTGGCTGCTGGTGGTTGATGTTTTCTTGCAGATAGTGCTGATGGGCGTGAGTTCACACTCTATTATTCAGCGTCACACTGTGTGTGTGTGTGTGTGTTTGTGTGTGTGTGTGTGTTTCCACGCATGGCTTCTTTTAAAATGATTTTCCCCTGACAGAGCTTCCTTCTGGATGGGCCCCGTTATCTTATTTTGTACAGAAAGACAGACCTCTCCTGACACCCACTTTCACACACTGCCCTTAGATAGAGACCGAGCAGACCCCAGAGCTGGGTTGGTCTCCAGATGACACCGATCACACCATGGGTCCACGCTCTCTGTGGCCACCACCCAGCCCCCTGCAGACCCACATTCCCTCTCCTGCCCCCTCCACCTGCATTTCAGACAGCGGGCTCATCCAACCCCAGCTGTGTGTCTCACTGTTTGCATAAATAGACTTGGGGAAATTGCTTACCTTTTGATCTCGTTTTTCTCATTTCTAAGAAAAACATAATGCCAAATTCATAGGTTCTGACAAACATTAAACAAAATAATATAACTAATGCACAGCGCCTAATGCAGAGAGGATACTCAACGCATATTGCAAATATTACAAGGGTGGAGGTTTCTGTTCCCAGAGAGCAAAACAAAACATAACAAACCATAAAACCTCTAATTATAGTCCTGCTTATGAAATCGCCACTTTGAACCCAGGCAACCTGGAAGGGCAGGTAAGGAGCTTTATAGGTGTCCAGAAGCCTCTAATGGGAGGCATGCTGCTTGCAGCAGCCAACCAGCCCCCTGCTGCTTCCCAGGCTTGAAAGGCTGCGGAGCTGCGTGCTGCGGCGTGCAGCTCTGAGACGCTGAGTGCCAGACCCTGAGCAGAGGTGGACACAGCATTCTTTCTCCGCACTGATTTGCACAGCAAAAGCCACAGGTTCCGAGCTGACTGCACCCATGGGTCCCACATCCACCCTCCTCTCCTCTCAACCTGCATCTTGGCATCTGACCTGCTCCTCTTTGTTCCCCTGTATGCTGTGGCAGTAGGAGGAGACACACCTGCCCAGGATGGGGGTCCTGTGACACATGGACAGCTTCCGGCTCCACAGCACAAAGTCAACAGTCAACACAAGCTTTATTTACTTATTATTTATTTGCAGCACCAGGGATTGGACTCAAGGCCATCATGCTGAGCCACATCCCAGCCCCTCTTTTTCATTTGTTCTATACTAAAGACAGGGTCTTGCTAAGTCACTAAGTTGCCCTCGCTGAGCTCCAACTTGCCGTCCTCCTGCCTCGGGCCCCCAGAGTGCTGGGATTACAGGCGCACACCACCATGTTTTGTTGACATACAAGTTTTGTTGAATGAATGAATGAATGATGATAAGTGAGCAAGTTCCAATCTATTGATAAACAAGTTCCAGCCCCTGGTGGTTCAGGGGTTCAGCAGCCCCTCCCCCCACTCCAGCAATGGCAGACATAGGGGTTAAGACTCATCCACCGCCCAACTTAGTCAGAGTGAAGACAGGCTCTGACCCAGGACCAAACCCAGTCTTGTCCCACCAGTACCATTGGCGATGACCCAGAATGACCAAGTAGCTCACACCAAGGATGGCGTCCTGCAAAAGCACTTCAAGGTGCCTATATAGAAGATAAAA